GGCTTTGGTCTTTGGAATTGGACTTTGGAATTTTATAAGAGATTCAACACAACTAGTTCCACCCCACCCCCCCACAAAAGACAGAAATGCATACAGAATCAGCACTCTTATTCTGCAGTTGATTGTACACCTACCGACAAATGAGAACACCAGATAATTCCGTAACCCACTTACAACCCAAGAGGCACACTGTTCCCACACAGAAACTTACAGCAATGATTCTTGCATTAAGGCATTTGAAGAGACTAAATATTTGCCATTATGAACTCAAAATCATTTTAGCATTCAAACATTAACTAAACCGAAGCACGACCTCACTACCAACCGAGACAAATATTCCCAATGCCAGTCTTCTTTCACATCTCTAAGAACGTGGCCACAAAGAATTATAGTGCCGACCCAAATGAACTACGTGATGCGCGGAAAGAACAGACCAGAGACATCACAGAACAAACTAGAAACCGAAACTCCCACATGGAAACATCCTCGCTACCAACTCGCTGCACATGAACTACATACGCCAGTCATGGCAGTAAGTTTCCTGTTCTGAAATCAACTCAGTCTGCCAACTGTTGCCGCACATACTCCAATGCTTCTCTGGCAAGCAGTACGCAGGTCAGGTGACACACAGCACGCCGCCCAGTAGAATCTGGAGGAACATTCTATTTCTTGTAATCCGCTACCCCTAGAAAGACAAAATACATTCACATTATACAAATCAAGATTCCTCCGTACATGCATCACACTCCTCTAAGAACAAAAAGTTTTACTTCTTCACACAGTTAACATTTCTACCTCAGCCAATGGACACACTCCTTCCACTTTCACAAGGCAAATTTTGTCATGATCACTACAAACAAACGGATACACAACTTACCAATTCAAATATGGGTATTGACACTCAAACAACAAGCTCCCTCTCTCACAGGCTCATACAAGAGCTCCTGACGTGTGCATGCCGCCCTAGGGAATGATTTCCCCTTCAATACTCTTTCACAAATTTTTGTACATAAACTGCATGTTTAATAACCTCTGCCTGTGTGACACAAACACAAATAAAATTCCAAGCAGAATACAACGTAATTTTATTATGTTCTACATAACTGGAGTAACATAACAGCAGTTCAGTTCAAATACTGGAAGGGAATAATGCTTGAAGCTTATAAGGTTAGATAAATAGCCAAACTCTTTCTTGTAGCCATATGAATGTTACTCCCTCATCCTGGCACTTGCTAAATTGAGGGCAAGTGTTTGAAAGATGCTGCTTTGCTTCACAGAAAGTTTATAAGAATAACTCAGAAATCTGACCAGAGTGGCAAGTATACATATACAATAAATCATCTCAAATCCTTAACAAACTCACAATTTAGCTACTGGTCACAACCTGTATGAATATATATAGATATATCATACCTGGAATAAAAACTTTCACTACAAAGTTATGAGAATAAAGTATAAAAATAATTTTTCACTTCTGGTGACTTTAAAGTTACTTGTCTTGCCGAAAGCTACCACAAACAATGTCTCAACTCCCTGCTAACATCCTTTAATCTCAAAATTACTCCAGTACTGCTACTGATAATGCCTTTATAGACAGTTCCAGGAAAGATCATATTTCTACTGAACCAGAAAAAAAATGTGCTCTCTGAGCATTACGCTCAACTTGTAATTATATATATATATAAAAAAAATAGAACCGATATCTAATTATCATAATTACAGGAAACGATTCGGTCTTATAAATACAGACACTATTAAAGAATTTACGACACACGTAAATAACGAAAACTGGGAGTCAGATTCAAAATTCAGCACAATCCCAAATATCTTCTTAAAATATTTTCAAGCAAGTTTCCCCATCAGAACAGAGAAAAACATGTTTGAAAATAATGAATGTCTACTTATAGACAAATTACATTACAAACGGCATTCTCTAAAATATTTTAAAAAGACATGTATAAACTTAATCTCAAACAACGTCCTTGCAGGTGAACAATTTGGTGATAGAAAAAATCTCTCAACTGATAAAGCGGTTCAATTTTACACATAAAATCTTAAATGCACTAAATAATAAAGTGCATGTTGGTGGAATATTTAGTCATCTTGCCAAAGAATTCGATTGTGTAAATCATCTGATAAACATATTTCTCGTATACTTACACAACGCATGTCAAGTTGAGACAGAGATCAATCTCTCGCAGACATGAGGTCCTTCATGATAACAGCCGATTTCCTGTTGTCATATCAGAGAGCCAGCAAAGTGTTTCTGCACATACTCCACTCTTTTCCTGGCAACCAGTAGTCAGGTCAGGTGACGCAGCCTTCAACCTCAGTAAAGTCCCATGGATCAATCAAGCTGCTTCTCCGCAGCTATCACCAGAAAAAAAATGCTATCACATTCAACATATCAAGTTCGCCCCACCCCAAAAAAGACAGAAACAACACTCTTATTACACAGTTGATCGAACACCTACTTGCAGTCTGGGGAGCACACCATTGCTAAACACGTATTACTTGACGCTGCAAGACGAACATACTGATATTCCTGTACATCGCACATTAGTGACGAGGAATCTTTCTCCAAAGGCTACGAATGTCTATCCTCATTCTGTTTCCTATGCCTATTGACAATGGAGCTTCAAATCTGTACTATTTTTATTGTGGCATTTGAGCACTTTGTTTTACACCAGTCTGTATTATTGCATTGTTGTACTGTTCCCTCTTATGAACACACAGTTATGTGGATCTAACTACGAGCTGCATTTTGTGGGCCAATTAATATGCTGTGTCTTGGAGAAATATTGGTCCCCAACATCCTATTTTGTGTCAGGTGGATAGCAACAAGGTGTTACAGGCCATTTAACAGCAGCCACTACTGTCACTAAAAACTCTGCAACTACTTCCCACACACACATCAGATGAGCCCCATTCAACTTCTGTTGCCACATATTTTACTTTCACTGTGCTTTAAAGCCTTTCTCCTTTCCACAAATATGGTGACATTCGAAATCTCAGCACCAGCAAATACAACATCAAAGTTACAAGCGGCACTGTAATGATAAATGGTGCCACATATTTTCTTGGACAGACTTAACTCTATTACATGACAAGCTCATCTAATACATCATACAGCTCATGTACTTACACAAAGCCCTTCATGATCACAGCAAATTTCCTGTAGTGGTACGAAATCAGCCGCACATACACAGAAGAAGGCAATGGCAAACCACTTCTGGATCATCTGCCAAGAGGTCGGTGAAGTTTGGTGGCCTGTGACGAAGTATGTGTGGCTTGTCAGCAGAGATATGTGGCCTACGATTCAAGGAAGCGTGACTTGTCAGTCGCCGGGCGTTGCTTTTCAGGACGCAGCATAAAACAACCAACCTATGCCACTCGTCAGGTAGCCAGCCACTGAAGCAGCCTAACCCGACTTACCTAAGACCGCGAGCAAGAAGCCTCCATAACAGAGCAGACCGCTGCAGACGAAGGATAGCCAAACGTAAGTCTCGAACTGAGCACGTAACCAGCGACGGACGTAGCCTACTCCAACCAATCTATGCACTTAAGCGTGTATGCTGCTTAGAACGCAGCCAACTATCAGAAAATTAAACACGCTACGATGTAGCTCGCTTGCCTCAAAAAAATTACAGATACCCTTAACCTACTTCACATGCAGCCTTAACCAACATACGACTCCCAGCTACTTGATGCCGACTGGGCTAGAGAACCTATTCACGTCAGCCGGTCGCCTACATTGGACGCACACTAAACTAACCAACCTATGCCACTTACGACTTTCGGTTTTGGACTTCGGGCTTTGGGTTCTGGGATTTCGGCTCTCGGCTTTTGGCTATTGCCTGTCGGCTTTGGGCTTTAGGCATTCTGCACTCCACTTTCAGCCTACGGCCTACCGGCTTCCGGCTTCGGGCCTCCAGCTTCCAGCGACAGGCTTCCGGCCTCCGGCCTCGGGCCTACGTCTTTAGGTTTCGGCCTACGGCCTACCGCCTTTGGGCTTTGGTCTTTGGAATTGGACTTTGGAATTTGATAAGAGATTCAACACATCTAGATACCCTTAACCTACTTCACATGCAGCCTTGACCAACATACGACTCCCAGCTGCTTGAAGCAATTGGACTTTGGAATTTTATAAGAGATTCAACACAACTAGTTCCACCCCACCCCCCCACAAAAGACAGAAATGCATACAGAATCAGCACTCTTATTCTGCAGTTGATTGTACACCTACCGACAAATGAGAACACCAGATAATTCCGTAACCCACTTACAACCCAAGAGGCACACTGTTCCCACACAGAAACTTACAGCAATGATTCTTGCATTAAGGCATTTGAAGAGACTAAATATTTGCCATTATGAACTCAAAATCATTTTAGCATTCAAACATTAACTAAACCGAAGCACGACCTCACTACCAACCGAGACAAATATTCCCAATGCCAGTCTTCTTTCACATCTCTAAGAACGTGGCCACAAAGAATTATAGTGCCGACCCAAATGAACTACGTGATGCGCGGAAAGAACAGACCAGAGACATCACAGAACAAACTAGAAACCGAAACTCCCACATGGAAACATCCTCGCTACCAACTCGCTGCACATGAACTACATACGCCAGTCATGGCAGTAAGTTTCCTGTTCTGAAATCAACTCAGTCTGCCAACTGTTGCCGCACATACTCCAATGCTTCTCTGGCAAGCAGTACGCAGGTCAGGTGACACACAGCACGCCGCCCAGTAGAATCTGGAGGAACATTCTATTTCTTGTAATCCGCTACCCCTAGAAAGACAAAATACATTCACATTATACAAATCAAGATTCCTCCGTACATGCATCACACTCCTCTAAGAACAAAAAGTTTTACTTCTTCACACAGTTAACATTTCTACCTCAGCCAATGGACACACTCCTTCCACTTTCACAAGGCAAATTTTGTCATGATCACTACAAACAAACGGATACACAACTTACCAATTCAAATATGGGTATTGACACTCAAACAACAAGCTCCCTCTCTCACAGGCTCATACAAGAGCTCCTGACGTGTGCATGCCGCCCTAGGGAATGATTTCCCCTTCAATACTCTTTCACAAATTTTTGTACATAAACTGCATGTTTAATAACCTCTGCCTGTGTGACACAAACACAAATAAAATTCCAAGCAGAATACAACGTAATTTTATTATGTTCTACATAACTGGAGTAACATAACAGCAGTTCAGTTCAAATACTGGAAGGGAATAATGCTTGAAGCTTATAAGGTTAGATAAATAGCCAAACTCTTTCTTGTAGCCATATGAATGTTACTCCCTCATCCTGGCACTTGCTAAATTGAGGGCAAGTGTTTGAAAGATGCTGCTTTGCTTCACAGAAAGTTTATAAGAATAACTCAGAAATCTGACCAGAGTGGCAAGTATACATATACAATAAATCATCTCAAATCCTTAACAAACTCACAATTTAGCTACTGGTCACAACCTGTATGAATATATATAGATATATCATACCTGGAATAAAAACTTTCACTACAAAGTTATGAGAATAAAGTATAAAAATAATTTTTCACTTCTGGTGACTTTAAAGTTACTTGTCTTGCCGAAAGCTACCACAAACAATGTCTCAACTCCCTGCTAACATCCTTTAATCTCAAAATTACTCCAGTACTGCTACTGATAATGCCTTTATAGACAGTTCCAGGAAAGATCATATTTCTACTGAACCAGAAAAAAAATGTGCTCTCTGAGCATTACGCTCAACTTGTAATTATATATATATATAAAAAAAATAGAACCGATATCTAATTATCATAATTACAGGAAACGATTCGGTCTTATAAATACAGACACTATTAAAGAATTTACGACACACGTAAATAACGAAAACTGGGAGTCAGATTCAAAATTCAGCACAATCCCAAATATCTTCTTAAAATATTTTCAAGCAAGTTTCCCCATCAGAACAGAGAAAAACATGTTTGAAAATAATGAATGTCTACTTATAGACAAATTACATTACAAACGGCATTCTCTAAAATATTTTAAAAAGACATGTATAAACTTAATCTCAAACAACGTCCTTGCAGGTGAACAATTTGGTGATAGAAAAAATCTCTCAACTGATAAAGCGGTTCAATTTTACACATAAAATCTTAAATGCACTAAATAATAAAGTGCATGTTGGTGGAATATTTAGTCATCTTGCCAAAGAATTCGATTGTGTAAATCATCTGATAAACATATTTCTCGTATACTTACACAACGCATGTCAAGTTGAGACAGAGATCAATCTCTCGCAGACATGAGGTCCTTCATGATAACAGCCGATTTCCTGTTGTCATATCAGAGAGCCAGCAAAGTGTTTCTGCACATACTCCACTCTTTTCCTGGCAACCAGTAGTCAGGTCAGGTGACGCAGCCTTCAACCTCAGTAAAGTCCCATGGATCAATCAAGCTGCTTCTCCGCAGCTATCACCAGAAAAAAAATGCTATCACATTCAACATATCAAGTTCGCCCCACCCCAAAAAAGACAGAAACAACACTCTTATTACACAGTTGATCGAACACCTACTTGCAGTCTGGGGAGCACACCATTGCTAAACACGTATTACTTGACGCTGCAAGACGAACATACTGATATTCCTGTACATCGCACATTAGTGACGAGGAATCTTTCTCCAAAGGCTACGAATGTCTATCCTCATTCTGTTTCCTATGCCTATTGACAATGGAGCTTCAAATCTGTACTATTTTTATTGTGGCATTTGAGCACTTTGTTTTACACCAGTCTGTATTATTGCATTGTTGTACTGTTCCCTCTTATGAACACACAGTTATGTGGATCTAACTACGAGCTGCATTTTGTGGGCCAATTAATATGCTGTGTCTTGGAGAAATATTGGTCCCCAACATCCTATTTTGTGTCAGGTGGATAGCAACAAGGTGTTACAGGCCATTTAACAGCAGCCACTACTGTCACTAAAAACTCTGCAACTACTTCCCACACACACATCAGATGAGCCCCATTCAACTTCTGTTGCCACATATTTTACTTTCACTGTGCTTTAAAGCCTTTCTCCTTTCCACAAATATGGTGACATTCGAAATCTCAGCACCAGCAAATACAACATCAAAGTTACAAGCGGCACTGTAATGATAAATGGTGCCACATATTTTCTTGGACAGACTTAACTCTATTACATGACAAGCTCATCTAATACATCATACAGCTCATGTACTTACACAAAGCCCTTCATGATCACAGCAAATTTCCTGTAGTGGTACGAAATCAGCCGCACATACACAGAAGAAGGCAATGGCAAACCACTTCTGGATCATCTGCCAAGAGGTCGGTGAAGTTTGGTGGCCTGTGACGAAGTATGTGTGGCTTGTCAGCAGAGATATGTGGCCTACGATTCAAGGAAGCGTGACTTGTCAGTCGCCGGGCGTTGCTTTTCAGGACGCAGCATAAAACAACCAACCTATGCCACTCGTCAGGTAGCCAGCCACTGAAGCAGCCTAACCCGACTTACCTAAGACCGCGAGCAAGAAGCCTCCATAACAGAGCAGACCGCTGCAGACGAAGGATAGCCAAACGTAAGTCTCGAACTGAGCACGTAACCAGCGACGGACGTAGCCTACTCCAACCAATCTATGCACTTAAGCGTGTATGCTGCTTAGAACGCAGCCAACTATCAGAAAATTAAACACGCTACGATGTAGCTCGCTTGCCTCAAAAAAATTACAGATACCCTTAACCTACTTCACATGCAGCCTTAACCAACATACGACTCCCAGCTACTTGATGCCGACTGGGCTAGAGAACCTATTCACGTCAGCCGGTCGCCTACATTGGACGCACACTAAACTAACCAACCTATGCCACTTACGACTTTCGGTTTTGGACTTCGGGCTTTGGGTTCTGGGATTTCGGCTCTCGGCTTTTGGCTATTGCCTGTCGGCTTTGGGCTTTAGGCATTCTGCACTCCACTTTCAGCCTACGGCCTACCGGCTTCCGGCTTCGGGCCTCCAGCTTCCAGCGACAGGCTTCCGGCCTCCGGCCTCGGGCCTACGTCTTTAGGTTTCGGCCTACGGCCTACCGCCTTTGGGCTTTGGTCTTTGGAATTGGACTTTGGAATTTGATAAGAGATTCAACACATCTAGATACCCTTAACCTACTTCACATGCAGCCTTGACCAACATACGACTCCCAGCTGCTTGAAGC